TTAACCGCATTGCCTTTAAATTTAACCACACACTACTCAGTAACCGCATTTACATTAAAATTTACCGCAAATTTTTTTGTGTGTACAAGTCGAAAATTCTTTTGAAAGATTTCAGGCAAACAAATCCCATCACACCAAGTGTGATACTCAAAGCGATTGAGAAATCGAAACTCAAACGTACTTGGTGCAAAAGTGGGAAAAAGCAACACAAACGTTTTCTTCATCCGCCTCGATTCACCCTATATCATCCTTAAGTGATCGGAATGATGTGGCTGACATTGGCACGCGTTCTTATTTCTTATCAGATAAAGGAAGAGAGAGACAGAGAGAGAAAGAAGAAGAGAGAGAGCGCACATCGGTAAACGGAACCAAAACGGCTGCAAAAATAAATAAGTGCTCTCAAAATGTTTCAAATTTTTTTTCGGTACATTCTCAAAACATCATTGGATCTATCAGCATCGGAATTTTCTGTTCACCTCATATGAAACATTATTCCGTATCGATTTGTTTATGTTGCTGTGTGTTTTTTTTCTCTTTGATTTGTCAATTGAACAAATGACAAAAGGGAAAGACCCAAAAAAATACACATATACATTGGGAATGACAGTTGTGACACGAGAGAAAAGCGTATTGATAGCATCTAATCAAAATAAAACCAATGTAAATAGATATTCGTGTTTTGTGTGTCTGGTTTTTTCCCGGTTAAATCGACGCTGATTTCTCTTTGGTATTATTGGAGAAAAAACGCGCGTTTCATCTAGCATCTAGTGGAATAAAAACATTGCTGTGCAATTGAATGTTTGGTTGGTGATGATTCCAAATTTATTGTAAATCAATTTGCGAAAATTCACAGCTCATTTCGGTATGTCGTAAAAAATCAATTCGTTGATGACAAATTTAACATTCTCTCGAGAAGAAGTGGACTTCAATTGTATGAGCTGACATTGCATCGATTACATACGAGAAAAATTCATATAAAATATTCATTTTATGTACTGGCACAACAATCATTTTTCTGTTATTATAAGATGAATTCCAGTATGGCTATACTTCTTATGTCAAAGCACTGAAACATTCCCAATAACACTCCAAATGATATATTTTCTCGTTCCATCTCTCATAATCTTAATGGTGTTTATTCGGTTAAACGATTGTTCTTCGCCTTCACACTTGCGTGCGACAAATATTTTAAACGACTATAAAAAATGTGTTGCCTGTGGTAAGTGTCTTGAACCGTGAAATTATTTGGATGAGCGTCAACGTCATCGCTTCAACAAAAATAATCTCATGACCAATGCTCCAAGAAGGCATTTTCTTACCACCACATAAATATTATAAAATAATAAGTGTTGCAAGTGATATGTTTATGGTCACATCAATTTTATGTGTCGTGGATATTTTGCAAGATTTTACGATGAAATTAAATTGCTGGAACATAAGCGTGCGCTCGATAATAAAACCAAACTTTGTAAGTGGAGAAAATGTTTTCTTTTTCATTCAGAATATATTGGAAACATTTTCTACAATCAAAATGAAATTTTCCATTAAACTTTAATGAGATATAAAGACACAGAAAAAAACGAAAATGGAAAATTCGTTGAAATCGATCAGCCTGCGTCCATTTTTTTCGATTTGAATAAGTTATAAATGAAACACCGACGCCTTATCAATGACCTACCTATTATACAGCCACGTTATCGGTATTGAAGGTTACATTTAATGGTCATATCTCAAATAAAGGCTTCTGAAAAATCCATTTGACAAACGATTACAAACATGTTGAATTTGTTACGCAATTAAAAATTGAAGCGTTATGTTGTTCGCTATTAATTCTAGTACAAGTGAATGCAAATTAGCTTACATTTAATTAAACATGTTATAAGGTATTCCCATAAGAAGATTAGTTAATTTACGCAGCCAATTTTCATGTAGAACTTATGTAGGAACCAACATGTACGTCATTTATACATGACACCATGCTAATTGAATTATTAATTTCATACAGATTGCGCTCTGTAGTAAAGGGAAATACCAGCCAGTTCAAAAAATTTCCCAACAAAACAAACTCATTTCTACCATTCATGTGGGCATATCTATTCTTAAAATTCAAAACAATACCTTTTTGCTTTAGACGTATAAATAAAGCTTATGTCGTGTGTAACCGATCATTACAAGAAATATGACGTACATTGATAAACAACAATCATTTTGATATTGTCAATCGAAATGCACACTTATGTTTAGGCGAATACTGTTATAACATTGAATATTAATGCGACAATTTAAAAATTGCCCTTGAAATTTTTCACAATCAATAAATCTTCCTATACAACGGTGATTGTTGTCTGTTCTTGATTTAGCTGAAAAAAAAATTGGGAAAACTTTTCAAATTATTGTATAAGTCCAAAAATAACACCCAACAGATTTGAAATAAACAACAACATTTTTAAGTTCGTGGTCACGATTTTTCCATTTTTATTTTTTCAAGTTCAAAAAGAAGAAAAAGTAAAACAAAAATATTGTAAATTTTCTTTTAATGTAATAAAACAGGAACTTAAAGATATTTCAACATTGGTTCGAAAACACTGGCGATGTGGATACGTGGAATGCTCATCAAAGTAAGTATCGAAGTAATCAGAGTTTCGAATTTTTCAATGCCAATTCATTCAATTATAATTACCATTAGTTAATGTAAATTGAAATTTTCAATTTATTTTTTTCAATTCATTGAATTGAATTTTCAATTACCATTTACATTCAAATTGATAAATGAATTGAAATTTATTTCAATTGCGTGAAGTTGCAGAGATTGATGCCTTATGCGGCATTTGTGCATAGCTAATGTCAAAAGTGAGGTTAATATTTGAATGCGCACATTCAACAATAACGGTTGCTCGTTGCTGTGTCAATAAGTTTAAAAGAAATCGCAGCAATGAAAACAGTTTCAAATTTTAATTTTTTTAATTTGTATATTAATATTAAATTTTAAATATATATACATTTTAATTTACATTCAAACATGGCCTGGAAATGCCTATGTAATTTACATATAAACGAGTGAGACTCAAACATGTTCTTCTTTTTCCATCAAATATACCAGTGGCGCCACCAATTTTACATATAAGCGCATACAAAATTTTCAATATGGCTGCGCCCATGAGAGAGAAAATTTCGTCTCATTCATTTCCGCCCCATGCATTCAAAATGTTATTATAAATGAATTGACGGTAAAAAATTGAAAACAATCGAGAGTAGTATTATGGGAGCCAACTAGAATCTCTGCAACTTCACGCAATTGAAATGAATTTCAATTCATTTCTCAATTTGAATGTAAATGGTAATTGAAAATTCAATTTAATGAATTGAAAAAAATAAATTGAAAATTTCAATTTACATTAACTAATGGTAATTGATTTTCAAATAAATGAATTGAAAAAACTAATCATTATTTCAAACTCTGGAAGTAATTAACATAAATTATTATTTTCATAAAAGAAAATGTGAAATTTCCAAAAGCTTAAAACCCAAATCCGAACTAATTCAATAGGAAAATTGCTTGAAAATCGATTGATTTTAATTTAAATTATGCATTAATTACAGATTCAATTACAAAGTGAATGAAGTGTTTCGTGAGTTGATGGGTTGTACGGGCGGTATTGGTGGTTTTCATTTGGCCGGCATGAATTTCCAAGCCCACGACAAAGACAAGTGTACGATTCTATAACGATTGCTTTTTTCGAGTTTCAATAGTATGGTACCCACAGCAAATTCACTGGATAATAATGTCAAATCATCAACGGCCAAGGACTCGTCTAGCAGCGGTAATACACCGAATCGAAATCGAAAAGATCGTAGTAAAAGTCCACAGCCAAACAAATCAGCATCACCAAAATCTATCAATAAAACAAATATAATAGTCACAACGACGAACAATAGCTCCAGTTTTAAATGTAATTTAAAATGTAAAAAATCAACGGAAGAAGAGACTTTTGTTTAAGTTTATTTTTCATTCCGGATTTGTAGACGCTTTTCTTTTCCATTGGGATCTACTATTTGAAACTAAATGGCGCTTTTAGAATCATCAAAATTGATTGCCATTTTCCGATTATTAATGAAGTGAGAAATTGAAAAAAAAACACTGTTAAATTCCATTTTGGAACAAAACGATCGCCTGGCCAATAGATTTAGTTCGAAATGTTAAATCGAATTCAAATCAAGTTTAAATTGTTTTGAGAATACACATGATGGCGAGCTCGTTTGTGATAATATCGATAGGCTATTTACTTAGTTGCTAATGAAAAAAAAGCATTCAACTTGCTAAAAACAAATTATATAAACGCTTATAAATCTACTCATTTATGCACTCATACACACACACACACACACACACACACACACACACACACACATGACGAAACGATTTTCAAATTTTTAACTATTCTTATTAGTATGTATTCAAACGGCTGTTTCTATTGAATAAACTTTCTATAGTAGAGCAGTTATGACAATAATTCACGGTGAATTCTACGGACAACATATTTTCCATTCGAATATTTGCTGCGTCCTTTGTTGGCAAATCATTCAATTCATTATTTAGTTGACTTATTTTCACACGACATTATGGAGAAAACACATGTTTTCTCTAAATTTGTCATATGTTTTTTTAAATGCCTCTCTTTCTTTGATTATTTACACATGTTATTGGCTTTTCATTTTTTTTTCGCAAAGATGTTTTTGTTCATAGGGGAAAATCATGCTCTCATATAAAATTGCTACATTATATAGTGTTTACTGTACAAGCCACAATCTGATCGCGCACAAAAAGTTTGGTTCAACTTCAATTAGTTCATAGCTGAATGAGCCGAGGAAAAAACGGCAAAAGGTATGTGACACACGTGAAACCAACTGCTGCTAAAATAAAACAAAAAGTAAATATAATATTGTTACTGTGAAAAATCCATGAGAAGTTTTTTCCCACGCACAACACGAACCGTGGATATTCGTGCTAAAAGTATGCCATTTGTTGAAATTGGCCAGGTGGAGGCGGGTGTATATATTTTTTTTCATACTGCCATCAAACCACGTCGGTGAAGTAATGTGAAAAATACTGTTGTCATCGGAAAACCAAGCAGAGACCATGAACAGGATATCCCCCGCAAAAAAAAAAAAAAAAAACAGAAAACAGAGCAAGAGAAAGTTTGAATACCTATCTCATAACATGTAATATGATAACCGTTGTTAATATTAAACATAATACACGTATTTGTGCCAAGCCATAGGCATAATTTCATTAACTGTGCTAAGTAGGTTTAGATTAATATAAATAAATACAGACCGTAGATATTAAGCATCTTCATATGAAAAATGAACACTATACTTAGATTGAATGTGTGCCGTTAAACTATTTATATTCTAGAAAACAAAATTGACCTAAAAAAAAGATTAAAATTGGCATCGGACAAATTTCGATTAGAAAGTGTCCTTCTCTTTGCAAATTATTTTTGCACATTGTCAAAAAGTGTGAGCCACAGCCACTGTCATCTATCCCTAGACCTATCCTTTTTTCCATTTCAAAATGAACATCATCATAAAATATGTGTGTACTTGATTTAGACATAAGGTTAATGAAATAGGACAGACATTATATTGAGATATTTTCAGCCAGATGAATCACCTCAGCCAGATATCGTCAGGAGCTGAAATTTAGTGAAAACAATAGGAGTGATTGTTATGGTTATAATTACACTTACATTGCTACAATCACTATAACAATCACTTTTATTGTTTTCACTCCATTTCAGCTCCTGACGCGATATCTGGCTGAGCTGATTCATCTGGCTGAAAATATCTCAATATAATGTCTGAAATAGGTCGATATTCTGATGTAATGCTAGCAACAAATTTGCTTTCTGTAAATATGGAGAGAGTTTTTATTGTTAATGTGCTGACAATGCAGAATTTCTTCGCAAATAAGACAGATTAATCAAATGAGTTATTGTAAACTCAATCGATTCCTTTGTGGTTTCATAAATAAATACTAAATTTCAATGGTGTTATTGAAATAGATGGCTATTTTCGACGAATTTCGAACAAATGGTCACCGTCACAATACACATGGTAAAATTGGTTCTTTACAGCTTTGTTGTATATTAGAGTACAGCTTTCATATCGAAAATAATCGATTTTTTTTTTTTTGAATTTTTAAATCAACATTTGACCTTTTCATTGCGACGCTTCTCAATACAAACATGTTTTCTATCCATCACATGCTCTAATTACTATTCATAGTACATTTTTAATTTTATAACATTTCTACGTGTACTTTACTTTTCGCTTATGAACCAACAATACAAAAAGGATTAAAACTTAAAAAAAGAACATTGAAATGTTGAGGTTATTTTGTTGTTTTCTCTTTAATTTTAATTCAAATTCAAATTGATTCTATATATTTTTCTCATTGAATGCATGAATATAATGAGTTTCTAGACGGTATCAATAAAATAGATCTAAAGCAATAACAATGATTAATTTTTCAATATCTAATGTAAATACTAAAGAGAATTTGTTTAATTTAATTTTTAAATTGGAAATTGTTAAAAAAAAAGAACAAATTAAAATTCTATGCCATGAGAAATGGCAAGTGAAAACTTTTTTTCACTGAAAAGCTAAATACTATTGTTGACTTAAACTTTTAATACAATATATTTCTTGCAATTAAGTTAATTTCAAATATTTGCTCCATACACAGCAAGTAGATAACATTAGCTAAAATTATTCAAACAATTTTCGATAAAAATGGTGAAGTCTGTAAACGACGAAAGAGACTGTACATTGAAGTATTGCTAATGAATAAAGTAAAATTGTTACCGCAAAATGGACTGTCGTGCGTTTAATATTGTTTTTGTTTTTCATACATGGAAAAGTAATAAAGACGCAATCGAAGCGAATATTTGAGGTAAGTAAAGTAATAATTGGTTATCATTTTATTTACAGTTTAGAGGACGATATTTTTATCATATTTGATTTTCCTATAGTCGATTGCCCTTCAAATCGTTCTACTACAGCGACAAAATCGATTGTAACACACAATTGATGGGTTCAATATACAAACTAAACAAATATGGATTGTGATTGGCTCCGCCTATTTCATTAAAATAAACTCCCGCACAATATAAGCAATTGATATTGTTGGTGATTCGATTCATTGGATGGAAGACAAAACAATGCGAAGCAAACGACGGTATTGGAAACACAACAAAATTGATAATATTTTCCCGAATGGATATTTTCTCACGAATTATTATACGTAGGTTGCTCCATAATTTTTTTTAAAATGGTACTTATAGTGTTGCCCGATGTAAACCATTGTCATATTCGTAAAGTTTGATGTTTTGGTATGTATTCGTGCCCTGAACCTTTTGTCGTACGAACGCTATTTGTATTGTTTACAGTGACTGGTAAACTGCGACTCAACAAAAAAATGAATTTTACACGTGAAGATTTTCGTAAAATGATTTACTACGATTTTCGAAGTAAATTATCTCAACAACAGTGTTTCGATCGACTTCATTTGGCCTTTGGCAATGAAGCACCAACCCTTCAGACAATTTATAACTGGTACCGAGAATTCCGTTGCGGTCGTAGTTCGCTCAAAGACGAGTTTCATACAGGTCGTCCAAAATCGGCTGTTGTGCCACAAAACATCGATGCTGTCAGAAAACTGATTATGGAAGATCGTCATGTGACCTACCGTGAGATTGAGGCATCTTTGGGCATTTCATCCCACAGCATACATACAATTTTGCATGAACATTTAGCCGTAAAAAAGATTTGCTCTCGTTGGATCCCACATAAATTGACCGATGAACAAAAAATGGCTCGTGTGAGTTGGTGTAAAGAAATGCTCAAGAAATTCAATCGTGGTGATTCAAAATCCGAGTATTTTATCGTCACTGGTGGCGAATCATGGATCTACGCGTATGAGCCCGAAACTAAACAGCAGTCGACTGTATGGGTCTTTCAAAGTGAAGATAACCCAACAAAAGTTGTTCGAGCTCGAAGTGTTGCGAAGCAAATGGTCGCCTGTTTTTTCGCGATAAGTGGTCATGTGGCAACCGTTCCACTAGAGGATCGTAAGACCGTCAATTCTGATTGGTATACCACCATTTGTTTGCCCGAAGTGTTTGGTGAAATAAGAAAAAACAACCACCGTCGCAAAATAATTCTTCATCACGATAATGCGAGCTCTCACACATCTTTTCAAACTACTCGATTTTTGACCGGTCAAAACATCGAACTGATGGGTCATCCACCGTACAGTCCTGACCTGGCACCCAATGACTTTTTTTTGTTCCCAAGCGTGAAGAAAAAACTACGTGGTCAACGATTTTCGACACCAGAAGAAGCAGTTGAAGCGTTCAAAACACACGTTTTGGAGATATCAGTTTCGGAGTGGCACGAATGCTATGACAAATGGTTTCATCGAATGCAAAAGTGTATCGATCATCTCGGGGAATATTTTGAAAAACAATAAAACCATTTTCGACAAAAAACAACTGTGTTATATATGTTTTTTAAAAAAATTATGGAGCAACCCTCGTAGCATGAGGTGTACCAAGACGTCGCTTTCTCTACAACCACTCCGAGCACTATGTATTTACTTGATACTTGTTGGTTAAAAAAAAAAAAAAAAAAAAACAATAAAATATTCATTGATAACATTGCCAATTTATCGATTCATTGACGACTAAGTTAAAATATGTCACATTCATTGTGGGATTGACTTTGATGAATTCAGTATGTTTCGCCTATGAATATAGAACTTTTCATTTCCATTTTGTTTTAATTGTTTCGATTCTCTCATTATATGGAGTCTATAAATAAAAAAAATTGCTATACCTTGAACTCATTAAATTCAAATGCTCGAAATGACTTTTCAGAAAAGTAGAGATGATAAAATACCCTGAAATTTGAGAAAGAAACAAAATACCATATCGATACTAGCACATTGCATGGATTTCCGAACGATTCTCAAAAAGAATTTCTGCATCGATATATATTTTACCTTGGGGAATTTTCGAGAAAAAAAAGATATTCGTTGTTAGTAAGTCAGAGAATCGCTGGAGAAAACAGAAATCACAATTCTCCAAAGCAACAGCCACACATATTGATTTGTGTGAGTACGATTTCAAGTGCACAATTGTGAGTTGGCATTGCATTGGTTTGCATATTTGAAACGCATTGATTGCTCGCATATATCGAAATACAGAATTTATAATGAACAAAAGTATGCCGGGATTTTAATTAAAAGCAACACAATAGGTTCAGTAAATAGGGATCAAGGGTAGAAATTCAAAACGAAATCGATTAAAATCGGTGTCCGCTAACTTGACCACAGGTATTCGCTTTTTTTCATGTTCGTTCAGTGGCTGAGAGTACTGGCTGGGTAAATCCATGTGTATATACATCTGTTAGTTTTCCATAGTTCACAAATGCAAATAATAACGCTTTCAGCAGACGTCTCTGTTATTATCCCTTCGCCAAAGTGATTGAAAATCATTTAAATGGAAAGAAATGGAGCGCATAGCTACGCATTTTCTCCCTCTTTCTTCGACCATTTTCAAAGTCAGCTTATGCGAGTTCACACGAATAGCTTTTGAGACAATTATTATAGAAACACGTAGACGTAGTTTACAAAAACATGTCATTTAAAATTGCAGTTTGCATTTATTTTTCATATCGGTCGCTCAAAATATTTTTTTATTCCTACATCGATTATTATTAAGATGGACAAAAAGCGGTGGAAAAAAATTCAAATTTTTCGCTGATGAAGGAGACACGAATTGAATGACATACATTCAAAATGTTGCGAAAGGTAGCAGATGTTAATGCAAAATTGGCAAAATTTCCTCAAAATCATGTATACATCATTTCATATTGAACATCTAATGACGATAGAATGTTCGATGTTATCGTCGAGAGAAGAGAAATATAATATTCGATAATATTACAACAAGATAAATACAAAATCGATGAAATCAACGTATTTTACAATACACAAAACGAAGCACTAAATTCATCTACACAACAGACAAACCACGTTGAAAATAACATTCAGCTTGTATGTTGTGTATCGATTATTCATGGGATAAAACCTGAGAACAACGCCAAGTTTTAAAAAAAACACACACATACGAGAGGGAGAATATTTACATAGCACAGAGCGATCGCAGCCACAAAAGCCGATGGGGATAACATATACAACGATAATTTGGTGCGGTGGAAAGTTATTGTTGCGATAGACGCTGATTTTGATTTTGATAGCGTGAGAAAATTGCCATCATTGGGCCACGTCCAATGGATAATATCCGAATAGTTTTCGAATTTAAACGATTGATGATCTATTAAATACGACAGTTCAAACAAAGTCAATCCATCGACAATTTTGAAATATTGTTATCAATTGTCGTTTGCCTCTTCAATCGAACGGCACGCAAAATTCAAATTAATTCTTGACTCTTCAGTTCAGTGGTTCTTTTTTCTACATTTTTACTAAAATTTCTCTAAAGTTTTCGGTACATCTTGTATGGGGGGAAAATATTTTATTAAAAAAATCACTCAGATCATCAAGACAAATCAAAACTTTTTCAAATTATTGTGATTATTTTTCTTAAATTTGGAAAATTTTTGGAATATTTTTTTATCAACTTGTGAATTTATGGCCACACATACGCCCGGCAAATTCTACGACGCCATCCATCATTGTTCGGTCAGGCTTAAATGAGAAAGAAGATCGGAATCTGTGAAATTTATTAAGTTCTTTAAGGAAAAAATAAGTAAAATCAAATCTAATATCAATCGTGAACAATTTTTAGGCACACCGCCCTATTTGAAACACTTAACAAATTGCATTAACTTAAAAAAAAATCAAGTAAATAAGTTAATACCAATCAACTCACGAAAAAGAAAACATTGATCGCTGGTAATTCCGACGAACATCATTTGCTCTTGTCAAGTGGAACTCACAAAACGGCAAGGTAACGTATGAAAATATTTGAATACCTATGTGAAAAGTTCAGGAATCAAATAAGATTAGAAAAAAAAAGAAAAGACACGGTGATGCGAAAAATGCCCAAATATTTAATTAAGCTTGAAAAAAGGTTTCTGTCAATACAAAGGGCGTATGCCGGAAAGTTGAGAAAGTAATTTTTTATTGATTGGCAATGGAATAAAAATTACTGAATGGCTGTGGAGCAATTCTTGTATGATTTCTAAGCTGCTTAGAAGAACCTTTTTTTTATTGTGCATCCAACTTGATTTATGTATATTTTATCACTCCATCGAATTTATAATTGATGTTTAACTTCGCGTTCCGTGAAAATGGCGTGGGGCTGCTCATGTCGGCGGAAGAGCCGATTTTTCACAAAAACCTTTTCGAGGAAAGTGCAAACAATGATTCTTCTTTTATTGTGTTTTTATTGGTTCCGGTATTCTTGTTGAAAAGTAATTTTCATTGAAAAAAAAAATTCCAATAGACAAAAACACATCACTTCGTTACTTCTCGATGAATACATTTCCTCTTGCTTTATATCGCACTCGGCGTTAAAATGGTGAAATAAATATTTAATTTTGAAAAGGTGAAAGCAGAAAATATTCGCTTATGCCAGCAAATGCACAAAAATGCGAACATGAGAATAAAAAGTAACAAAATGGATAGAACGAGAGAGTGAGATGGAAACGTTTTGATTTAGTCGTTGTGTGGAGCGTCTGATTTTATTTTTACGTTTCAACGTTGAAGGGGCACGTTTGATTTGCTTCAGTGGAGGGCTGTGTCCAAATGTTTACAAATATTTGATCAGCATTTTTTTACTCCGCATAGTACTTCGTTTTATATAATTTATTTTCAAGTTGTTTTTTTTTTCGTCTTTACATTCCATTTGAGAATCATTTTACGTGCAAACAACGGACACGATATTCGATAAAATAAAAAGAATGATCGAAGCAATAAAATCTAAAAACGAAAAGAGAACAATTCAATTTGATTGGAAGTGTTATCGAAAATGTGATGATATTGTAAGAGAGTCGGATATGTTGTTCATAGTATTTGAGGTTGAGTCAATTGTGGTATGGATTATAGTTTCATGTTTTCGTGCTTGTAAGATAAAAAAAAAGAACATTTGAAGCGTGGTTCATCGATTCGTTTCCGAAGGATTTATACATTGTTGATTGAGTGGTAAATGCGCTGTTTCGAGGTAGATCGAGTTCGTTGAGTATATGAAATAATGTTAATGAGATACCATTTGTGTTTATTGAATTGAAATGTCGTTTTCCGTAGTCGAAGGCTGTCTTTCGTGTTTTTTCGCTCACATTGTCGTTCGATTTAAGTATATTGCGCCACAAATCATGAATTGGAAATTGATCCAGAATTCTTCTTCTTTTTTTTATCCCAAACCAATAGATGCAAGTACAACAGAAACAATTCACCGGCCTCGTTGCCGATCTTATGCCTAACATTAAGCTTATGCGATTATTAGGCCATTTTCTTCATAAATTATCCAATGGACCGACTTTCCTGAATAAACTCTATTCGATGATGCATCTCATTCTGATGTTATTGCAATTTATTTGTATTGTCGTTAATTTGGCAATGAACACCAGCGAAGTTAATGAATTAACGGCAAACACTGTCACAGCACTACATTTTACACATACGATTACGAAATTCAGCTATTTGGCCATCAACAATAAGAATTTCTATCGTACGTTTAACATTTGGAATCAATCAAACTCCCATCCGTTGTTCGCTGAATCTGATGCCCGTTATCATAGCATTGCTTTGGCCAAAATGCGCAAGAATTTCTACATGATTACTGGATTAACTTTGGGAGTTGTAGTATGTAAGATCAACATTAAAAACATTTCACATCAATGTAGAGATGGCTCATTTAAATAATGTTTTTTTTTTACAATTGAACAGCTTGGTCAACGATCACCTTTTTTGGTGAAAGTGTTAAGGGTGTCTTCGATAAAGAGACAAACGAAACTTACTTTGTCGAAGTTCCACGTCTGCCGTTCAAATCATATTATCCATGGAATGCAATGAGCGGAATTCCTTACATCGGTACATTCGTTTTCCAGGTACAAATAACAATCGCCACCAAAACAAATGAAGAATTGAAACTAATATTGCATTACTTTTCATAGGTCTACTACTTACTTTTTTCTATGTTGGCCTGCAATCTTACCGATGTCCTTTTCTGCTCATGGTTATGCTTCGCCTGCGAACAACTATGCCATTTGAAGGTTAGATCAAGGAAAAACAATTGTTTTTTTCTCTGAAATCTGTATGTAATTTAATTCTCTTGTTTCGATTTTGTTAACTCAGGGCATCTTAAAACCATTGATGGAACTATCTGCATCATTGGACACATACCGACCAAATTCGGCCGCTCTTTTCCGTTCATTGTCTGCTAATTCCAATTCCGAATTAGTCAACAATGATGGTAAGGTTTTTAATTTCATTTCAAATCAATCGTAATCATTTACAATATTAACAAACAATTTATATTTATTCATTGGTCAATGCAGAACTTGACCGTGACGACGATAAATCCAACGTATTTGTACCAAAAGCTGAATGGGGCGGAACTTTTAAAGTTCCACCAAACTTGGCCAATCCGAATGGCTTGAGCAAAAAACAGGAGATCATGGTTCGCAGTGCAATCAAGTACTGGGTTGAACGTCATAAGCACGTTGTACGGTATGTATGCAACATTAATTTATTAACTGAGAAAAAATCAGCAAAATATGAATACTTTGTGTTTTAATACATTATACATAGTTTAGTTAGGGGGTAGGCACGTGGCATAGGATTAGACTTTTATTGTAAAGATTCGAGAAATTGCAATGAAATAGTAACGTCTGTGAATGGCGATACAGTGCATGGAATAGCAAAACTTGTTTCACTTCAAATCCATTTGACATTTCTTTTGACGTTTATCGATGGATTAGTGGAATAGCAGAATTAGCATTTTTGACGGAAACAGTGCATGGAATAGGAAAAATAGTTTCGATTTCACATTTGTGTTTTTGGATTAGTAGAATAGCTGGATTTGTAATTTATATAGTGGATTCGGAATTTATTCTTTGTGTCTCCCCCCCTAGTTGTCTGTTTTTCCATCCTCGTAATATGTGTCACTAAAAATACATATGTGTTTTTTGAAGCAAAAAAATCATATACAATACATTCCATATGTGGCACAATTCATTTTCCACAAAAAACTCACACTGAATAATGATAGAATTGGGAGAATGTTTCATTGTTTAGAATACGATTTAAATCGATCGATTGTATGAGAAAAGTTTTTATTGATTTTTTTCGATTTTCAATCGCCTACGGTCCAATATAGAACGAGAACTAAATTAAGTGAAAAGGAGTGTATTCAGTTCAATGAGAAGATTAAGTTGTGGCATTTTGTAGGTGCAATTTAGTCAAACTGTCAGTTGCTATGAAACATTGAAATGTATCTATAATTCAAATCAAGAATAAATCCAACAAATAACGCTGTACGTCTCGACCATGTACTTCAAAAGCACTTCATCGTATTTACCATCGCCACAATAAATACCGTGGATAGATGGATGGAACCACGTGTTAAACTTCCCACGAATTCAAAACCACGCTATGCTATTGATTTTGAACTACATTTTTAACTTGAAATATGATGAGTGGGGGTGTACTTTTCATATCAATATCCACACACCGAAGCATGTACACACTTTGATATTTTCTCTTTCACTCATTTTAATTTGGTCAATGTTTTCACGGTGGATCATTTCACAGACATTTAGAACTGTAAATTATTGACTATAACTCGTGTATAAAAATTGTGAATCGGTTTTGCGGCCGATACTCATTGTTCACTGTTCATTCAATTCAATAGCAGTGCAGTTATCATTTGTCTCATTGAATATTTAACATTGTCCTCAAAGTCAGTGTTTCCAATTTGAATTGCGTCTTTATATGCACGATTTAATTCTATTTTCTTTAGCTGGTTGGTGTTCTGCGTGCGCATGAGTGTTTCGTTTCGAATTTGAGCATTGTCGCCGATGATTATTTGCGGAAAACCCAATATTCCTTTGAAACATGTTATTCTTTAAAATTTGATTATAGTGATTCTTCAGGCTCCCCCTATCCAGCCTGGCAAATTTTTGCGATTGCCTTGAAACCTTTTTAGGGATTTAGTGACTAATTTGTGATAATTTGTGACACCAAAATTTCGGCCCATGGAATAGACCTTCGGCCAATTTTGGCCGTTTTTCTATTTAGGCCTATTGGCCAAAAAGTCTCTTAGTGAAATTTTGAATAAAAGCAAAAAATAAAAATATAATGATGCAGAATTTTAGTGATTAATTTGTGACTCACAAATATGACTTTAGATTTTCGATACGACATCTGGTGGACATATTATGAACAAAAAATTGAAAAATGCACAAAAATGATTTTAATCGAAAATTTGAAAAGGCTTTTCATGAAAATTGGCAAAATTATAAAAATTCTTCGACATAATTTTAGTGACCAATTTGTGACTCCCAAAAATGTCAACATTTGAATTTGTGACACACTCCTTGGGACAGAAATCTCAATTTTTCGATTTTCATACTAAAAGTCGAAAAAAAAGAAATTTTTCAAATCGAATACGTAGATCCAAATAAATGATGCCATCTTTTAGTGACCAATTTGTGACTCTCAAAAATGTCAACATTTGAATTTGTGACACAACGCGTGTGACAGAAATCTCAATTTTTCGATTTTCACACTAAAAGTCGAAAATAATGAAATTTTTCAAATCGAATACATAGATCCAAATAAATGGTGTCATCTTTTAGTGACAAATTTGTGACTCTCGAAAATGTCAACATTTGAATTTGTGACACAACGCGTGTGACAGAAATCTCAATTTTTCGATTTTCATACTAAGAATCGAAGTTGAATGAAATTTTTCAAATCGAATACGTAGATCCAAATAAATGATGCCATCT